ACACACACACACACACACACACACACACACACACACACACACACACACACACACACACACACACACACACACACACACATATATACATACATACATACATACATACATATATATGTATATATATAATTGTGCTAAATATTCTTTTTATTAATAACATGTTTTTTTCTCTTTATACACTCAGTAGAGCCGATTAACTTCAACTGTTAATTCAATGTCGTTACTACGCTACAAATGATTACTATACAGTGAAAGAGAATGTTCGGCATGGGATTATATGGGAGATCTTCTCTCTCTCTCTCTCTTTCTCTCTCTTTCTCTCTCTCTCTCTCTCTCTTTATATACGTATCCATTGCATTCCCCTGCATCGCCCATGTTGTTGTCCGCTTTTGCTGTCCTTTTTCCCTTCTCCTTATTTTTGGCTATATTTGCTCCTTGTAACACCGCGACGTCGAGACGCTCCGCCGACATGCCTCAATTTTGCCAAGTAAATTTAGTCAAGCAGGCGGGCATTTCTCGCCGATCGCGCACGCAGCGCACCTTCCAATATACACGATTTATACGACTCGTGAGATGAGCGGTGGTTAAATGCTTGGACGCTAAAGATAAATCGACTTCGAATATGATATTATAGAAGGATGCGCGAAGATGAGCCAATGAAGATGTCTTTTCGTATCTCTTTTTTTTTTTCTTTCTTTTCGGTAGGTAGATAAGTGGATAAGGTAAGATGTGTATGTATGCATCATGGAGTAACGTGACTTTTTAAGTAAAATGTCAAAAAACAAGTTGGCTGTAGCATTATAATAGAGTCGGGGAGCGCTGTTGGTTGCAGGTGACATGTCTTGCATGGAGCCATGGGCAGGTAGAGGTGCCGCTACTGACCGTTTACTTGGTGTACAAGTAGATGGCAACGATCAGACCATAGAGACCCAACACTTCGGCGAAGATCAGTATCAAGATCATGCCGACGAAGAGACGAGGTTGCTGCGCGGTGCCTCTCACACCGGCGTCACCGACAATGCCGATGGCGAAGCCGGCCGCTAAACCGGAGAAGCCCACGGCCAGACCAGCGCCCAAATGGGCGAAACCCCTAATGGACGAAAGTACAGTTCTGTTAATATTTCTCGAGTGTTTCTCATAACGAACTAATTGATAGGACAAACAAAGGAGAGAGACACGCGTTTTTCCTGATACAAGCCACGGTTTCCTCTTCGTAAATTAACGAAACGATTCGGTGGACAAGCGTGCATGAATTACGCTGTTCTTACTGTGAATGTGCACAGTTGGGATTTCTATACGGGGAATTTCACGGTTTTCAGCGTTATATATAACCCATTAAATTGAGAATCACATAAACAATGTAACGACAGGCTTCAGTTATAATGATTTTAACCTTGTGTATACTTATAAAAGGCTGAAAATCGTATTATTTTCATTCTAAGGAATGGTGCCGAACATACGTGACGCCGGGATTGTACACATTGCATCATATGCATACCTTAGCATTATAACTGAAGTTACGTATTTTCGACATTATGCTTTTATATGTGTAGGAGCTGAAAATTGTGAAACTTTCGGTCCAGAGAATAGTAAGGCATATATGACGCAATGTGTGCAGTAAAATCGAAATTCGAGATTGGCAAAATAATGATCGAAATGATCGGCGAAGTGTCGCTCACGTTCACATGGCAATCCATGCAAGCGCTACGGCGGTAAGTAAGACAAGTGTTAATTCGAGAGATACGTACATAAACAGAGTGTATTTGCCCTTTTCGAGAGAACCCGCAATGAGGACGGCCACCACGAGGCCATAAATGGCAATGATACCTGCCATGACGACAGGAATGATGGACTTCATGATCAACTCTGGCCTCATGACGGACATCGCTGCGATTCCTGTGCCGGCTTTCGCTGTGCCATATGCCGCTCCCAGAGCTGTGAAATCAAATTGAAATCCGTCATGTAAAATCAACATTAGAAATGAGAAAAAAACCCGGATATTCGGCGTTATCGGAATCGTTCACGAACTATCCTCTCGATTATGTCTATCTAATCGACGCGACGATACTTACACAAACTTTCTTTCAATCATCTCACTCTCAACGTTACTTGCGGCACCGACGAGGTAAAGACCAGTAACCTTACGGGACTTAGCTTAATAGAAAATTCTTTAATAACCTATTAACGGCAAATTTATCGGTAGATTTGCGTCAAATCAGCGTAGATGCAGTTTCACAAGAATATCGGATACACTTCATCGTGTATATAACGATAAAACATTGTTGTAAATGATAAAATAAATACTTCATTACACGCACCGAATGTCCAGGCATTTGTATCGAACGACTCATGATCGATAACGTTGTATCTTTTTTTTTTCGATTACCTGCGGGACTCTCAGGATCCCTTCGTCCATGTGAAAATTTACTCGAGGGCCAAGGGTTTTTATTACTACATCTCGTCGGTGGTGGAAACCTTCATGTTTACCCGCAGCAACACACAGCATGTGTCAACAAGATGGTGCAGCATCGCGTTAGGTTCAATTGTACGACCGAATTCTGTTCTCTCTCTACGGCAAACGGATGGAGAGAAGAAGACCGGAAGACAGACAATAGAGACATTTCCGGCCTCGAAACATGCCGCTGGTAGGTAGGTGCATACTCTCTGGACACACTGTACATCCCTCTCGGCGGTTTCGGCCGCAGGCATGCACAAGAGATTATCGATCGAGCCCATCGTGAGACGGACAGTTTTGCCGAAGAAGCGGACGAAAATAATTCCCATCTTGAGTTCGTTATTTTTTTTTCCGAGCGTGAATCCGCGTCCTTCGTATTCTCGATCGGACGATTGAAAAACTGCGATCTGCGTTAAGCATCTGTGCGTATAATAATTGTGAAGTCTGACAATGAAGCGGACGGCAGGTATCTACTACCCAATCCAAGCTGGAGATCGCAGTCACATGATTCTCACGTTGGCAGTCACATGACAATCGTTCAAGTCCCATCCCGTGAGTAGAGGGGCGTGGCAACGGTGATAATCGTCGCGTGTTTTTTCCACTGTCTCGTTTTCGAAAATACGTTTCTCTCGTATGCAGACATCGTTTCCGTCGTCGTCGTCGTGCGGACTGGCGTCCGGCCGATCACGATGTCGCGTAAAATTGCAACAATATCGCGGTGAATAGGCATTTCGCGGCGTAGCGAGCGAGCGAGCGAGCGGTTCCACCAACCGATTCAACGGCTGAACGTTCGGCTCGAGCGAAATCCAGAAGAGAAGTCGTATCGTGAAAACATGACTAAAACGTTTCGGCGGAAAAAACGCGAGTTGAACGAAATTCTCGTCGAAATGATTTTCTCGTCTCCATGACGCTGGCACTTCGCTCTTCTTCACTTTTTATCTCTCTCGTCCCGCCTCTCTCTCTCTCTCTCTTTTTTTATCTATTTATCTCTCTTTCTCTATTTCTCTCTTATTCGGCGTCATGAATCGCAATTGTCGCGATATTACTATTTCCTTGGCGATCTTCGCCAATCACGTGCAAAGTAGGCATGAGAAACTATCTCTCGAGTGGGCCAAAATCAATTCGTACGTTTTCGTCATCGAAGAAACCGTGAGGAGTTGGGCGACTAGAGAGAGACAAATAGCGCACGCATCGAAGTTCGCGCGACAGCCTCGAGCCTAAAGAAATCGAGTTCGATCGATGCCTCGGATCGATACGGACCCACGGAGGGTAGCCGGGGAGCGATTTTTGCGAACGCGACCTCGCATGGCGCGCGTGTTCCAGCAAAGAAGCCCGGCGGCACAAGGAAGCAGCACGGGAAAAGTGGTATTCGTCGTGTATTGATCTTGCCGATGGCAAGCGACGCCCGCGGCAGCCCCGGAATCGCCGCGTTTTATCACCACGAAAATCAATTAATTAGGGATCGATCGCGACCGAGACGAGCTCTTCCGTTTCGAGGAGACGAGGAAGATAGATATATATATATATATATAGAGAGAGAGAGAGATGCGAAAGAGCCGATCTTGCCGGCGTCAGTCAATCGAGACGGTTCAACACGAAAACCCGCTCGGAACGCTTCATAATTTGCATTATTAACATAAATCGCGATCTTCGTCGTTTCGATGAATGATTAAGAAGAACCGACGGTTCGGACGAGTGGAGGAGAAACGGGCCGCCTCGTCAGCGTGCCGTACGGGGCGGTGTGACTCGTGACACTCACGAGGCGCACGCATTCACGCGTGCACGCACGTTCCGCCTGTCCGACCGCCCGCCCGTCTCCTTATCGCTTATGCTTTTCTGCAGTTCATAAAATTCTAAGCCGCGTACTAACCGTATTTCCGAGGTCAACATTACGAAATAGCTGCGCCCGGTCCGGCCGCGAATATGTTTCCCAGAGAGACGGGACCGACGCGCGACACTTTAGATCGTTTTCTGCGTTACGAAATAATGCTGCGGCGCGAGTGTGTTCCCTCGCTGAGAGAATGAGAGAGAGGGAGAGAGGGGAAAAGAGAGAGAGAGAGAGATACAGTTCGGGGAAACTAGACATATGACGAGACGAGGATGACGTTGACGCGACCGACTGACGGAAACGAGAAGCAACGGGAACGTGGAAATTGGAAGCGACGTGAATGATCGAGACGAGGGAATACAATCGGTGCGACTGGTATGCGAGGCACATTCCAGTCGGCGCGTGATAAGATAACGCATCTGAATTCCACGCAGCTTCTCGCTCCCGTTTCGACGGGGACCGACGAAACGACGCGTCTCGGGAGTCCCGAGGAAAATGTAGCCCCGCAACTAGCGGGGGATCGATAATCCGTCGCGCGTCGTTCGCACGCGTTGATTTCCCCATCCGTCTTTTACGGCGCTTTCGAGAAAATGGCGTGTGACACTGGTGTATATCGGCGCCGTGTATCGTTGTCGTCGTCGGCCACGACGACGATGACGGTGCCCGCGCCTCGGGATCTCGCGAGATCTCGCGAGATCACGAGGCGGCGGGGAGGTGCGCGGTATAGCGGACAATCCGAGACTCACCGGAAAATATGATGGCCGAGGCGGCGCCCATAACGCCGAAGAACGGCGCGTATATCGGAGCATCGTCCTGGCTTGACGCGGTGCTCATTGTGACTAAACTGGCTGTCGTCGGCTCGGTCGGCTCGTCGGTCGTGGAGCGGTATTTACAGGTTGCCGATCCTCGCGCGCGGAACGTCGAACGTACGAGCGATCCTGACACTCACTCGCTTCGCTAAACTAGTGACCACTGTCAAATATGGCCTACCCGGGGCACAGTGGGCACGGGTCATGTGATGAGTGACGAGCGCCGCGGCGCGAGTGGAAGGAAGCTTGCTCGGGCCGAGAGACGCGCCGAGGAGTGAATCGCACGGCGATTGGCCGCCGCTAGCGCGACCGAGCGCGCGTCCGCGAATCACGCCGTGCGTCTCATCTCTATCTTCTGACGTAGACCGCGTCGATTGGCGCCGCCGCGCGACCGTTCCTGTAGATCGTCACCGCGTCGGAAGAGCGCGCGTGACACGTGCCAGTTTTCCGAGCGAATTTCCCGGCTCGCGTGAATCCCTCAGGTGTCCCCCGGTGGTGAGAAAACGCCCGGCGTTTCGTGATATCACGGGTTATCTGTCGTTGGACGTACGGGGCGTTTTGGAAACGGCCGGGCGATTTCGCCGTCGCCGCGCGTGACGAGCACATGACCGCGTGATGTTTGAACTGTCGTCGTCGCCACCGGAAGGCCAACGGGGCGGGGAGGACTTGAGGAGAAGGATAAGAATGGTATACTTGAAACGTATATTATGTGATAATGGAGAGCGATGACGGCACATGACAGGTGATATCGAGGGAGGGGAAATTACCTTGAGATTTCGTCGTTCGGCTTTCTCAATAAAGATCGGCCCGATCTTTCCTTGCATTTCAGCCGTTTCTCTTTGAGTTACGCCGCCTTGCTCGGCAAGCCAGACGACGTAACGTCTAAATCGTTTTATGTCCCGATTTTAGATGTTATATTGTCCGAGAATGAACATGAATGAATTCACAATGCCTGTGCGTAAATGCGTTTCAATGAGCGGAAGTATGTCATTTGGAGTTTGGAGCGATTATTTTAGGCGTCTCGTGGAATATTCCCCGAGGAACGGGCGTGTCGAGCGCGTTTGTAATTGTTATTCACGCGAAGATAATCCTTGGATCTCGTGTCCCGTCTTTATTCTTAGAATAAATAGATTCGCCCTCTTTTGCGCTCGATAACAGGTCTGCACTTTTTCGCGTTCGGGATAAAGCAAACACATGCTTAAAGAGGTAAGAGAAAAAAAGAAGAGAGATATAAGAGGTGCGGAAAGTGTGTGTCGCAATGAGTACGGATTTAATAAGGTGGCAAAGGGAGATCTGTTTGCTTTTAGTTTAAATTTTCGCGTTTGAAGTCAAACGTCCCTCCGAGACTTTCACCCGAGAAAATTATTTACCGTTAAAAATATTTTATTCTCGCAAATAGTTGCAATTTGATGTGGAATACAACGCGACGCAGAATGAATCATCGTTTTGAAGGATGTCGGGGCAGATATAAAGGTTTTTATCGCAAAGCGTCGCAAGCTCGTCTTATGATTACGCATTTCCACGAATCGAGTGTTGTATACGAAAGATATATCAATTGAATTTTGTGCTCCACGTGACATACTTTTCATTGAATGTCGTGTAATCTTTGGTGTGTCGACCCGACACCTCGAGTACGAGTACGTGACAAGACAGAGAAAGTCGCGTCGTCCATTTTCAGCACTGCAATGTGATTTGCTGAATTGAATAGTACATGAGAAGATAAAGTGCGATTGAAACGACCAGAGCCCGTAAGCTCGGAAAAGTCAATTTCCACGCGACGTATTATTATTAGTCCTAATTTACACTATGTAAGGATAATAAATCTTTAATTTAGTCTTTTGCTCTAAGCAAGAAAATGTAGTGTCATTTCTTAACGAAAGGTGTTTCCGGCGCTGTTAAAAGTTGCGATAACGTTTAGTGACATGTGTAAACAATGTTGTATTAAATTGGTACGATACGTTTTGTAATCCGTATTATATTAGAATTCCTATAATGGTTGAATTCCAACAAGAGACACAAGTCTAGTTATATCATCTATTATCCTTTTCTTTACTAGATGCGAAATAAAAATAAAGGCTTTTGCCCACAGGACGCGCAAACTCTTGCCGCGCGGTGGAAGTCCGCGCGGTAGCCAATAAACTTCTAGTTCTTATCAAAAAACGGCATGTTGATTGGCTACCGCACAAACTTCCGCAAGCGTTGCCGCGTCCTATGAGCAGAAGCCATAAATGATATAACCAGACTTATGTCTATTTGTGTTTCTTACTGAAAAGCAACTAATAAGAATTGCGGCGTAGAAATGATGATTTTCAATTGGCTGAGTTTATAGGCCAGTATTTATGGGCTGGTATTCGTATCTCTTATTTACAATCTTGTTTTAAGAGCAAGCAGTAAGCAGTATTCGAATTAACCAACCACGGTCGTTTATTAGAAGAATAATCGATCGTGGTTGGCCAATTTACTTATTGCTACGTTTTAAAGTAAGATTGTGCACGAGAGGATAGTCTGATCTTAAGCGGGGTCTACATGAGAATTTAAGTTCTAAGCCTTCAGAAATTGACCAATTACAGTCGAATGAGAAGAGATTAATTAATTGTGATCAGTCAATTTTTTAAGGCTGAAGATTTTAATTCCCAATTATAGACCGAGACTAATGAATCAGTTCAGCAATGCAGCTAAAAAGAACAAACCACTACTGGCATATGCGAAGAAACAACATGGCGGCTTTTGATATATTATATTTGTCGTCGCACCCATATATATAATACTACATCGGATTGACGTCTCCGCCAATAGAAAAAGTAAATATATTTTAGCACATGTATGTAGATATATATATATATATATATCATCTGATCGCGTCTGCGCACTACGGTCAAAATACATGTATCGGATATTGTCTATCCTTCCCTTCTGAAATGGCTTTCTCTTATAGACAGCATGAGACGACTGGCTATATAGTAGTATTACACATATGATCGCACCTGTCGCCTCTTTATTTATCTAAAACTCTAATAAGCAGTAGATAAAGCAGAAAATTTGGTCGACTACCAGCGCGAGTTTCAGTACCAGTTCTGATTGGCTGCTGATTTTCTGCTTTCCGCTTTTCTATCAAGGTATGAATTCTTCTTAACACGTTCATTGCCAATCACGCGATATCGCGTGATGTGTGTTCTCACCAAACGGCCGATCACGCGTTATTGTGTAATAGATATTTAGACTACATAAATCCTATGTACATAATAATAAAAGCATATAAATAATATATTAACTTATTTTGAGTACAATAAAAGCTAAATAAAAAAATAAAAAAATTTGGCCACCACACGAAATTCCAATTTTCAGCTTGGCAATGAACGTGTTAAAATACTGTCTCTCTTGGCACGAGGTCATCTGGCATAGACAAAGGCAGTGCTATTTCCAGTCCTGTTTAGTTAAAATTTAATGTTCCTATATGTTTTATCGTGCGCAGAGCCTTATGGCTTCTGTCCACAGGACGCGGCAACGCTTGCCGCGCGGCGGAAGTTTGCGCGGTAGCCAATAAACTTCCAGTTCTTACGGAAAAACAGCATGTTGATTCTGCAGCGCCATCATTTCCCTCTAACAGCTGACGAAGATTTTCAACACACAACAACCCAAGTTCCATACACCGGTATATTTTTCTATAACCTTAAACATGTCGAGTTTTGTGCCTACGAACTATGATTTGCGGGACAGCATTTGTTTTTTGTTATCATTTGAAGAAAACTGTTGCAAAATCGCATCGAATGCTTGTGGAAGTTTACGGTGAACATGTTCTTGGTAAAACACAATGTTTCGAGTGGTTCAAAAAATTCAAAAGTGGTG